GTGGGACGGAGATTCGAACCCGCGACCCTCAGATTGAGAGTCAAGTGCCCTAACTACCTGGACACTTTGAAAGAACATGGTAATTTTGCTCTAGCAGTTTTTAAATTATATAGGCTTAAATATAACAAATTGTTTTGATACTAGCGCTGCAGTTGGGGGTTAAACAGGTAAATTATATCATAAAAACAGAGCCCTAGTGACTAACCTGAAACAATACATTGAGTCAATGATGAATAATAGCAATTTGTAAGCTATCAAGCAAGTGGAATCTAAATGAACATACGAAGTAGCAAATAGTCTGAAATCTGGTATACTGATTCTGAATGGCTTAGCATGGTCTGGTGATTAGGGCGCTCGACTCGTAATCTGCGGATTACGGGTTCGAATCCCTGTCACCGAACACTGTTTCCCTTTCAGCTGAGAGGGCGTAATAATGTGACTCAATCTCACTATTCATTGATAAAAGAGTAGTCCAAAAGTTGGCGGTGGATGGTGTTGACTAGCTGCCTTCCCTCTAGTCTATCACTGCTAAATTAGGGACGGCTAGCGTATATAGCCCTCGAGTAGTTTTGCGCAAAATTGAAACTACAACAACAAACAAACAAAACTATTTCTGAATTACTACTGATTCAAGATCCATAATAACTCAAGAGATCAAACAGATATATGAATATGTATGAGCCATTACTGTATATATTTTTTCTATAACATTTCCAAAGCACATTTCTTCACAACTCAACCGTATATTTTAAAACATAATTGAGTACAGATACGTGTTAAATGTTGTCTTACGTCTTCTATTAGAAATGGTTTTAGATCAGCTTCTTATTACTGTATCCGTATATGTGTAGGTTCATGTGTTGCTGGAGTTGTAGGCTTAAAGATGCCAAGATACTGCCTATTTGGAGATACCGTCAATACGGCATCCCGCATGGAATCAACTGGGCTACGTGAGTGTTTTTTAATTTTTGAGCAGGCTGTATTTTAAATACTCTATTTTGCCAATATGTAAAATAATAACTTTATTAATATTACTAATAATAGTAAAATTCATGGCTTTCAGCCGACATAACACGTAGAAAGATTTGTTTTAGAGAATAGTATTGTTTAGAATATATAAATCTAAAAAAAAACGAAAAAATCAGCACTGGTTTGGCGGTGGAGCATGTTGCAGCTGAAAGCCAGTTCTAAAATTTGATTTTTGTTAGATTTTGGATTGCGTTTTTGTTGATTTGTATGGGATTGATTAATGTTTTTCGTTTCAGAAATTTTATGAAATATTAACTATCTGTGTTAGGACTACGAGTGACTAAATAAATTTTCATATGCAATATTTGATTAAATTGTGTGTCACAAGTACAACGTAAGGAAATATTAAATAAATTGATATACAATGATTTTGATATTAATTACTATTGCCGGAGCTATAACCGAACGTATTTTGTATAAGTAGTTTCACTTGTATTATACTAACTTACAACAACACCATATTCTAACAGGTTCTATCACTTACACTAACTAAAACAACGCCGTATTTTAACAGGTTTTAGCATTTATACTAAAACAACGCCATGTCCTAACAGGTTTTATCATACATACTAACTAAAACAACGCCGTATTTTAACAGGTTTTAGCATTTATACTAAAACAACGCCATGTCCTAACAGGTTTTATCATTTATACTAACTAAGAAAACGCCATATTCTACCAGGTTTTATCATTTATGCTAACTAAAACAACGCCATATTTTGATAAGTTTTTACTACTTATAGTAATGTCCACCTTATTATTTTACCCAGCACTTAAGATACACGTGAGTCCAACGACAAAGGAAGTGCTGGATACATTTGGAACATTCAGTCTTGAACTTCGAGGAGAGGTTGAAATGAAGGTCCGTATTAAGTTTTGTTACAATCCTATTTAACAATGCTTGCCATTGCCCATTAATAGTACTCCTTAACGCGTAGCTAAAACTTTTCATGAAGTCCATTCCTTTAAACCATTTAAATATCACAACATATTTTACGAACCTTTTGTATAAAATGCACAAACCCACGAAACGCTTCACTTCAAAGATTCAAATAACCATCTGGATTCCTAGTGAATTTTACACGCCTGTTGCTAGGGGATAATCACTAAGTCGTAGATTCGTATTAAATTAAATACTAATTAAACTACTTATAATTTGTTCTATATAATACAACGCAGATACAACAGTTGTTGGTAGTTTAATGATGCTGCAGTGATATCTACAGTGTCAGTAAAGCTTTTCAGCCACTTATATTATACAAATTGTAAAAAAATAGAAAAAATAAGGATGTTGTATGGATGGCAATGTCAAAAAGTACAGAAACAAGGTGGGGATGAATACACAAAACCATACAAAAATCCCTACCAAGTAACCAAATATTTCCAAGTAAAACTTTTATCTATAACTAAATGTTGAATTCCTTTCAGTTGCATGAATTCAGGTTTGAAGAAAAGTATTTAAACCGAATAATGCTATGTAGTCTTACAATGGCTAATTCCTATACGTTTGTAACATTGATTCAGTGGCTACTTATGGAGGGATTTTTGTATGGTTTTGTGTATTTATCCTTACCTTGTTTCTGTACTTTTTGGAATTGCCTTCTTTGCATCATCCATATTTTTGTTCAAAATGTTTTTATTACTTGTTTCCCCTCTCTTTTCTTTAACAATCAATATTAATTACTGGCAGTTGCTATGAAGGCAGCAGTTTTAGCCTGGCATAATGAGTTGTCTTGATGGACTACTTGTGTTGAAGTTAGTGAAACACTATAATGCTTCTGCACTCCCCAAGTTAAAACTCAACATTTTGGTGTGTAAATCGTCGCAACAGCTTCGAGTATTCGCGATCTAGTCCCTTCTGACGCCAGAATCAGAATAATCAGCAGAACATTTAACTGTTGCTCGCCTATTCTCGCCAGTTCTCTACTTTAGCGATGTTTTTTTTTGGGGGGGGGGGCTAAACTGGAGGTCTTAATAGTTTTGAAAACCTCGAAAACGTAAGTTAGGTATATATAAAAGTCTCTGAGATTGTTATGAGAGAAACTGGAGACTACGATGATCAATACATAATTTGCGTCGGCCATTTTTTTCCAAGCCCATCCTTACATATTAAGCACTACCTAGTTCGGTGATAGTAAAAAAGTTGAAATGAAACACTTTAATACAGAAGAGAACTAAAATAAATGTATGGACAAGTAATTGATTAACTAAACATATTATAAGTTGAAATAATTTGTTAATACAAATAATCCTTTGGGGCCCTTTAAGATAATATTACTTTAATGACAGAGAGTTTTACTCACTCACTTTCATTTGTTTCTCTACTCAACAAGTCCAAAAACAAGGCAAAAAACCATCGCTAAAATACCAAACCAGGAATTACCAGCCAATAATAGATGAACATTAGATGACTGTAACATATAGAAAACTCAATACTTTGTACATTATACAATAGACGTCTTTAGGGAGCCAACCCTTATATTATGTATGAAATGAAGGAGTAAAACAAAAATCAATACACATAATATTAATATTAAACTATATTACACACATTCATAGAATACACTAATTAGGTTTTCAGAGGGGAAAACGTCACAAAACAAGTAATAAAAACATTTTGTAAATGTAAAATGATGTAGGGGTAACAGTGCCAAAAAGAATTCAAACAATAATATAGAGATGATACAGTTATACATAGATCATCCCGACACAACTTTCAATATTAAGGTTTAATGTTTCTGTATTGTTTACTAAAGAGGAACTTATAGAAACTGGGTTCTGGGTTGTCAGTAACTAAGAATTTCCAGCAACCTATTTTTTGTATTGTTGTCGCTTGTTAGAAATTTCCATTAATCAGTTATTAAAGAGGAATTTCCACTAAGTGTTTTCTGTGTTATTGCTATCGAGAAGTATCCAGAAAATTAATTACGAATTACTTCTAAAGAGGATTCTCTGGCAACTTGACCCTAGATTATTATGCAATAGGAATATTTGGTGCTAGTTTTTGGAGTTACTAAATGTGTTTACATTTCTGAAACTTTTTACATGTTTCACATGCGGTTCTCTCTTTCAATGGTATTTTCCTTTTAAATTTGGAGTAATGTGTGCAATTTAAAGTAAATATTGTGTTCTGTAAACATAAATCCATTTCAGATTTGTAATATCTCATGGTTTATCATGATATTCTAATCAATGTGTTGTTATAATTTTGTAATAAATCCTTTTTGGTAGAGATTACTATAAAGTAAAGTTATTGGGGTTATATAAACTATGAAGGGTAACTTTACTAATAAAAAAAGTTTTTCCAAACAGATTTTAGGGTACTTTGATATTTCATTCATAACTCTAATAATATTTCTTAGTATTTTAATCAAGTTTTTAGATTCAAGTACCATCTAACCTAAGGTATTGCTGTAAAAAAAATATTCATTATGTTCTGTTGCAAGTAATGTTCATTTCTATATAGGCCAACAAAAGATAAATTTTTAATGTCAACAATAAGATATCTATAATTACCTTGTGCATGTTTTATCACGATTATTGACGTCAGTTGGCTTAGTAACATATACTAGACACAGTTACGCTTCTTTGACTTCCAGAATAAACCATAAGTCAATAAAATATCCGAGGATAGGCAATTATTCTCTTGATTAGAATCCATTCGATCTGTTTTACTATAATATAATACAAGTTATAAAAAGTTTATCCCACTAATTCTTAAGATGTCGACGACCTGAATCGAGTGAATCCAAGATCAAACAGTTACTGTTGTATTGGAAACATGCAGTTTTATTGGCAATCAGTATTGACTTTAAGGGAAATCGTAAGAGCCTGACTGAAACAAAGAACTTTCCGGACCCTAGTGTCTAAAACTACCTTAACATGGTACATATTATTGATTTTTGCTAATTTGTTTTTAGGAAATGGGGTAATAGAAATAGTGACATAAAAGCTATAAAACTTGTGGCTAAACTCTGTATTTTTAAATTTCTTATTCAGTTTAACTTTTGTTACAATTTTGTCTGGAAGGTGGGTGAATTGCACACGAATCAGGAAAACAGTTTACTGATCATGTGAAATAATGTTCGTTATTATGACTTTCAATTTTTTGATGATCTTTCAAAAGAAGGAAAGATATATTAAAAATAAAAATTGCATAAACACTATAATGTGTTTTTGTTGCCACCTAAAACACTGCATTTATCTTCCAATGATCACAATAAATATTGAGTTAATCCCTAAAATATATTCAAAAGCCTTATTTTTCCCAGTTTCAGTATCGAACTTTAAAAATCCCTAAAAAACTTTTAAACAGTTTGTTCAATTGTATCTTTGAACTGTAAACAAAATATTTACAGAAAATATGCACAAGCTTACTATTTTCATCTGGATGTTTCAGAACATTTTCGATGAATACTTGCTTATTTGTTTTTGATCTTCAAACTGGCTGTATATCTGGACCTTCACCAAATGATTCAACCTAACTGTATTTTCGGTCTTAACCTCAACAAACTCCATGTCAAAACATAAACGCTAGAGTTAGTGACTCGTTAATCATCTATCAGTTGCAAATATATAAAAAATCCAATTTCTTGTTGCTTTAATTGCGTATAGAAAAAAAAAACCTAGATTTTTCTAATAAACTAAGAGAGAGAGAGATTACATATAAAAGTGTATAGTCTAGTAATCACCAATATCTAACGGACCTATAAAAATGCTGAATTATATATGACAAGTTGAGGTACTCGTCCTTTGTCAAGAATATGAACTAAAAAACAAATGTGTGGGTGGATGCTATGATAAATAACACAAAAATTCTAACTTTTACACAATGTATTTATAACATAACATATTATTACATATTCATTATTACCTCACCAAAAGTTTTGTATCAGCTTTAAGAACTCAAATTGTTTGTTTTTGAATTTCGCGCAAAGCTACACGAGAGCTATCTGCGCTAGCCGTCCATAATTTAGAAGTGTAAGACTAGAGGGAAGGC